AGAAAAAAGAAAAAACTATGCATGGGAAATGTGTTATGAAAAGCTGCATAGGAGCCAGCATTATGGCATAGGAGGTTAAGCTGCCACTTGCTACACCAGCATCCCTTATTGGAGTGCTGTGTATCCGTCCTGGCTGCTGTTTTCAACCCAGCTTCTTGTTAACACACTGGGAAGGCAGCAGATAATGGATCAAGTACTTGGGTCCTGCCACCCATGTGGGAGACCTGGATGGAGTTCAGTCTGGCCCAACCCTAGCTGTCAACGCCATTTAGGGAGTGAACCAGCATATGGAAAATCTCTCTCTCTCTCTCTCTCTCTGTTTCTGTGTCTGTGTCTCTGTGTGTGTGTGTGTTTGTGTGTCCCTCTCCCTCTCTGTCACTCTGCCTTTCAAATAAATAAATAAATAAATCTTTTTTAAAAACTGCATATATTCCTTTTTTTTTTGTTTTTGTTTTTGCATCAAAACAAATATCTTTTGAGAGCTTCCATTTGCTGGCTCACTCGGCAGATGTCTACAATGACCAATCCAGGACTCCTGTGTGGGTGACAGGAATCCAACTACTTGTTTTTTTGTTTTTCCAAAGGTTTCATTTAACTGGGTTTTTGTTGTTGTTGTTATTTATTTAAAGATTATATTTTATTTGTTTGAAAGGCAGAGTTAGAGAGAGAGAGGCCGGCACCGTGGCTCACTTGGCTAATCCTCCGCCTTGCGGCGCCGGCACACCGGGTTCTAGTCCTGGTCAGGGCGCCGGATTCTGTCCCAGTTGCTCCTCTTCCAGGCCAGCTCTCTGCTATGGCCAGGGAGTGCAGTGGAGGATGGCCCAAGTGCTTGGGCCCTGCACCCCATGGGAGACCAGGATAAGTACCTGGCTCCTGCCATTGGATCAGCGCGGTGCGCCGGCCGCAGCGCGCTGGCCGCGGCTGCCACACGCAGCGGCCATTTCAGGGTGAACCATGGGAAAAAAAAGACCTTTCTCTCTCTCACTGTCCACTCTGTCAAAAAAAAAAAAAAAAAAAAAAAAAAGAAAAAGAAAAAAGAAAAAACTATGCATGGGAAATGTGTTATGAAAAGCTGCATAGGAGCCAGCATTATGGCATAGGAGGTTAAGCTGCCACTTGCTACACC